AGGTGGATTATATTGATATAAAAGAAAGGACCTTACTAAAGGTTCCGGGATACGACAAACCTGTTGAATTTGGAGTTTTAACAAAGTTTGCATACACTTTGGAAGGGAACCTAGGTGAAGTTGTTGTTGCCACAACTAGGATAGAAACTATGCTTGGTGACACTGCTATTGCCGTACATCCTTCTGATGATCGATACAGCCAATTTCATGGAAAATATGCTGTTCACCCATTTAATGGAAGGAAACTTCCTATAATTTGTGATGCTATTCTTGTTGATCCAAAGTTTGGGACAGGTGCTGTTAAGGTAATCTCTAGTTTATTTAAGGTTAAAAGTTTCATCAAAGTTCTTTCTCAAGAGATGTTGTAAATGTTACAATGCTTTCTTTATTGCTTGCAGATTACACCAGCCCATGATCCTAATGATTTTGAGGTTGGGAAACGTCACAACCTTGAATTTATTAATGTGTTCACTGATGATGGGGAAATAAATTCCAATGGAGGTTCTGAATTTTTGAACATGCCACGGTTTAAAGCCAGGGAAGCAATTACAGAAGCTTTACAAAAGAAGGTATTGTTATTGAAAACTATTTTCATATGAATTCTCTGGTGTTTAGGCAACTAATTTAACGTCTGTTTCATATGAAACCGTTTGGTGTTTAGGAAACACATATGTTACGTGGAAAACTTGTTTTGGAAAGTTTGGGCGTGAACTCTTAAAGTAGGGGATTGTGATTTAAATTATTATTACTTGAAAATGCTGCATCCAGTATTCTTTTTTGGCCCCTAATTATAATATTAGTATGTTCCAGCTAGCGGCACTAGCAATGTTGTCAAACATGTAACTTGAACTATAATTTGGTGGAGGGTGAAAAATTCGGAACTCAGATGATCATCATATGGATCACACAGAAACTGCAAATTATACTTACACACAGCATAAAAATAACTTGGATAAAGATTGTAAACAATAAAAAACTCAAGAGAAAAAGGAAAAAAAAGAAAACGAAAAGACTTGAAGGTTCATTGAGCTCTACCCTCAACAGCAGCTGCCTGAGGCAGCAAGTAAAAACAGATGAGGGGTGTACTAATCAATTATATTTGTATTTATTTCTATCTTAATTGGAAAGTTGTGTTTGTCTTTGTTTAATGAAGCACACAATAATTGACCATTCAATGTTCCATTTGCTTCCTTTCATGTAGGGCCTTTATAGAGGTTCTGAAAACAACGAGATGCGCCTTGGTGTCTGTTCAAGAAGCAATGACGTAATAGAGCCGATGATAAAACCACAGTGGTATGTCAATTGCAGCGATATCGCAAAGGAAGCTCTTAATGCTGTCACAGACGAGGAAAACAAAAGGGTAGAGATTTTTCCAAAACAATATGTGGCTGATTGGAAGAGGTGCTTATATATATTCATTGTTTGCCTTTTGCAATTTCTTATATTTAATAGTTACCCAACTTATTTTTCAGAGTAGTCCTCTGAATGTGCTCTAAGATTTAAAATTTTACAGATGGCTAGAAAACATACGTGATTGGTGCATTTCTAGGCAGCTATGGTGGGGTCACCAAATTCCTGCATGGTACGTCACTTTAGAAGATGATACACTGCAGGAATTGGGTGCTTACCACGACCATTGGATAGTTGCTAGAAATGAAGAGGAAGCTCGGGATGAGGCTAACCAGAAGTATAATGGAAAGAAGTTTAACTTAACCCGGGACCCTGACGTTCTCGATACATGGTTTTCTTCTGGTCTATTCCCGTTAACAGTGCTGGGATGGCCTGATGACTCAGAAGACCTGAAGGCATTCTATCCAACTTCTGTTTTGGAAACTGGCCATGATATCCTCTTTTTTTGGGTTGCTCGTATGGTGATGTTAGGAATGAAGTTAGGTGGTGATGTGCCTTTTAGCAAGGTGAGGTTACTATCTTTTGCCGATCAATTGGGGAGAGCTCTATATCCTTGTAAATGCATAATGAACTTTGTGTTGCTCAGTGATTTTTGGTCATTTTTGCTTACAACTATATGCAGATTTATTTGCACCCTATGATTCGTGATGCACATGGACGCAAAATGTCTAAGTCTTTGGGGAATGTTATTGATCCCATTGAGGTCATAAATGGGATATCACTGGAAGGTCTAAACAAGAGGTTAGAAAGTGGTAACCTTGACCCTAAAGAATTAGCTGTTGCCATAGAGGGTCAGAAGAAGGACTTTCCAAATGGTATTGATGAATGTGGCGCTGATGCTCTCCGTTTTTCTCTAGTCTCGTACACAGCTCAGGTGTCAATCTCTTGCCAATTGTTTGCATTATTTTTTTGCACCAACATAGTTAACTTTTGTAATGTAATAATTAACATCTGTTTTCATTCATTTCAGTCTGACAAAATTAACCTAGATATCCAAAGGGTGGTTGGGTATCGCCAATGGTGTAACAAATTATGGAATGCAGTACGATTTGCTATGAGCAAGCTGGGAGATGATTATATTCCTCCTGCAACTTTGTCTCCAGATGCTCTGCCGTTTAGCTGCCAGTGGATATTGTCTGTGTTGAATAAAACCATATCAAAAACAACCAAGTCCCTAGAATCATATGAATTTTCACAAGCTACCACTGCTGTGTATTCTTGGTGGCAGTATCAATTGTGCGATGTGTTTATTGAAGTGATCAAGCCTTACTTTTCTGGTAACGATCCCAAGTTTACTTCCGAAAGACGCTTTGCTCAAGATACTTTGTGGTTTTGTTTGGACAATGGCCTGCGATTGCTCCATCCTTTTATGCCTTTTGTCACGGAAGAATTGTGGCAACGCCTTCCTTCGCCCAAAGAATGTAATAGAGCAGAATCTATCATGATAGCTGATTATCCATCAGCTATAGAGGTTAGTTTGTTTACATTTTGCACCTTCGTCGGTCAAAAAAATAATAGATAATTGTTTTTTTAGTCGAATCAACAATTGTTATATTTTTTTTTAATCTCAGGGCTGGAATAATGAAACGGTGGAGAGTAAGATGTACCTCATTGAATCTACTGTGAAGTCTCTCAGGTCACTGGCAAAAGAGAGACGTGACAGGTATGTCGGAGGCGATGACCTTAGCATGGCACTTTTTATTTGTTACTGTTAAATATTAGTTACTCTTACTAATTAAATTAATATTCTATATAATGTGCTTTGCTGATTTCGACAATGATGAGTGTTTCCAGGCGACCGGCTTTTGTTCTCTGCCGAACACAGGCGGTTACAGACATTATTAGCAGCCATCAATTAGAGATTACAACACTAGCTAATCTATCCTCTTTGACCGTAAGTGTTGCAAGCTGTCGTTTTCTTGTTAAACATGTATCTCATTCATGTCCACTTCATTTGATTTACATATTTTCACCTTTAATGCCGATGATATATTCACAGGTAATCAGGGAAAATGAAGCTGTTCCATCTGGATACGCTACTACTGTCGTAAATGAAAGCATTTCTGTTTATTTAGAGCTTCAAGGAGTTAATTCCGCAGAAGCTGAGCTTGGAAGGAAAAAGAAGATAGAAGAGCTAAACAAGTATGTTAATATCACATTGTTTTTGGAGAATATTTTTAAACATAACTAAGTCATAAATAAGAAAAGGTTGCAAATAATGTTATTCGCAATACGACTTAAATCAACATCGATCAATATGATAGTTAAGCATACTTACATTTTCTTTGAAGTTTCAAAGTTGTAGCTAAAATTTTTGAACTACACTTTATTATTTTCCTTTCTGTGGTGGTTTCAACACAACTTGAACTTATAGACTTGAGGTTTTATTATGCAGGCAAATAGAAAGATTAGAGAAGATTAAGAATGCTCCAGGTTACGAAGAGAAGGTTTCGCTACAAATTCGATCAAAGAATGAGGAGAAGCTAGTATCTCTAAAGGAGCGTTTATTGCTCGAGGAAACGGCTGGACTAAATCTCTAGCTTCAAAGTGTTCAACTTGGTTGATGATTAATTTTTCCTTCCAGAGGCAGAAAGTTCCATTTTTAGTTTGAACTACACATTCTATGGGCTAATTTTATGGCTCTCCTACATTGTACTTTTGATTTCGTAGTAAAAACAAATTTTGGTAATCTAATGTCATGAGATGGACACATCTCTTGTTACAGCATAAACCTTGAATTGTTAAGACCTTGTTGAGGGACCCGAATCCCCTGCACAGTCAGGAGATGGTGCAGTCACAGTCACAGTCACTTTGTTGAAGACCTTTGGATTGAATTTTGATGGTTCAGATTTAAAGATTAACAGTTAAATAAAATAATATTTTAATTGATAATCAAAATGGATGATTGAGATGTGTCCGCAGTCACTAATTGACTGCAGAGAATCCGTTTCCGACTAGCATCTACTATTGTTTGTTCTAATCCACTATGATTAAGCCAATTTTACATTAATCCACTATAATTAAGATATTTGGCTTCCTTGTTAATGTCTTATGGCGTGTAGCAACAAGCTCAAGTTCTTTGGACCCAAGTCTAGAAATCATGTTTATATTACTTTTCTAAGAAAGACATTTTTCAACTCTTCTAACATCATATTGATTGGCATCCACTCTTTTCAATATGCATTAACAACATGATTGGACCCTTCAAGATAAATTGTGTTCATATATTCTTACTACTCAACAAGGGAAGTGAATTCACTACAGTCAATTAGTGTATACTATAATCACAAGCTTAGATGCTCCTAATACATCAACATTCAAAACTTTTATTAAAATCAAGGAAAGATTGTGTACACACTCAAAATTAATGTACAGTAAACGCATATGATGTATCAACACCCAAAAAAAGAACTACATTATCTTCTTTCACATCTTTTCAAACTACCAATAGTATCTGTACTAGTAAAAAAATCATAAGTACAGATACTATCCTACAAATAATTGTTTTTGGTAAAATACTATCCTATACTTTCCACTTCTTGGCCAATCTTATTCCTCAATTTGGTACTAGCATTTTTCTTAAATTAAATTCAATAAGTCCATAATGAAACTTCAGTATCACCAAATTCCACGTCATCAAAACAAAACTGGTTCCCCCAGTAACGTGCAGGTGACATAAGAACCATGTTTCTCAAATACTCCGGCACTCTATCCTCTTCTTCCTCTCGTTGCTCCATCACCGTCTCCACCCCTGCCACCGTCACCGTCGACGACTCATTCTCCTTCCTCTCCTCACTATCCTCACTGTTCTGAACCTTACTCTCCGGCCGGAAAGCCTCCGCTGCCTCTGCCGCCGCCTTTTGGATATCTCTCGCATTCGACGTAGCCGGGACCGGCAAGCTCCAAGCAGAGTCAGCAAAATTAAGACAAGCAGACTCTCCTCTAAGCGCAATCGCAGCAACGTCATGCGCACGCGCCGCCATCTCAGGAGTAAGAAATGTCCCTAGCCAGATTCTGGTTTTCTTGTTAGGCTCTCTCACTTCACACACCCACTTGCCAGAATCCCTCTTTCTTACACCACGGTATATCGGGTGGCGCGTTTCTCTGAACTTTTTCCTCCCCGCAGGTTTTTTCGGCTTTAGAAACCTCTCCGAAGATGAACATGGATCATGATATTCCAAAATTTGATTATCGGTAACCATGTTGTAATAAAACAATAATAGTAATAATAGAAGAAAAGCTTGTTACTCTGTTGGAGAAAAAACACTGTATGGATGAGAGTTGGTTAGTAGTAAAACGAGTAGTAGTTGGCAGTTTTTCTGTTATTCTGTTATTTTTGTTGTGTGTGGTTTTGATATTGATGGAAAGTGTTGATAATGGATTGGAAGGTGGTATATATATATATATATATAAAGAGTGAAAATGAAGTGTGTTGAAAGAAAGTGACATGGTGAAGAAGGTGTTAGTGTTGTGTGAATGAGGAGAAGACAGCTAAGTGAATTTACACACGGTATGGACGACGGTTAAGGAACTTGAACTTTTCAGAAATTGTGGACGTGACACGTGTGGGTTTTTGTTTCCCAAGATGGTTGTTTCTAGATTTGATTTGAAATATAGTATTTGGATAAGAAAGGTTACATTTGACTGAAAGTGAGAGAGGAAGGAAAAAGGGAAGAAGGACACTAGAAGAGGGAGTGTGTCTTTTGTGCTGGTCACTCCTTATGTGTCCATGTCTATATTATTATTTTAGTATTTGTGTTTTAAATTTGTGTGTGTGATCTAAAGGTATTGCTACGTGGTAGTGAGAGAATGAGAAAAAGTGAATTTATGTTAGATTGTATGGGTGGATTTGGATTTGGATTTGGGTGAGTTCAATGTGAGGGAAATAAAAAATTGGTACAGGCCAGGGTGAGACAACTCTTACCTTATGACTGTTTTGATTTCAGAATATTTTATATTAGTATCACAATCAGATACAGCACAAGCTGGGTTTTGGTACAGCTCATGCTTGGTGTTCAAATTCGCAGCACATGTTACAAAACGGACAAAAAAATTATACAGGTTTTATTTACTGATATTTTGGTTACCCCACGCACGCAATTGTTTCTTTCATTTTTCTTCTTCTTATGCATACGTTTGTTGGTTTCTTTTTGAGCTTTTCATCATCTATTATCAATAAATTTTATTTAATTGGGTCAAATCATATACCATACATTTTGAATTTTAGTTTTTTGGGTTGTCAAAATTTAGATTTTTTTTTGGATTTAAGATGTCTAAGGATTGGGCCGAAGTGAAGCCCAAATAATAGAGGGTTGACATTTTTTGATTTAGGCATCGGAATAATAACATTGTTGGCGGATACAAAAAGAGTGCAAATAATAGAGGGTTGACATTTTTTTGATTTAGGCATTGGAATAATAACATTGCTGGCGGATACAAAAAGAGTGAAGTTTGTTTAAGAGAAATAGTATTTTGACACTTAAATTTGAGTGTCAAAAAGGTGTTAGATGTTTAAGTATATAAATTTATAAAAACAAAAGTACCTGTAAATTATTCGATAAACCTTCTGATTAAATATTTAATTTGTTCTTAATTCAATAATAAATTTGATTAATTATGTATTACTTGCTTTATTGATTTGACATTAATTTTGTTGATTTTTTTTAATTCCTCTAACTACTTTAATTACTTGAACGAATCTGCATTTACAGTGGCATGAGAAATTGAAAAGTCAGGTGAATTGTTTTGTTCTTGGAACACAAAACTCAAAGTTTACATTGCAAACCCATCCTTTCCCAAGATTCACTCATGGTTTATCATCAAACACAATCCATTGAGATTTGGAATTATCATACCAAATTACAATCTCACGACCCAGAAGCTGAAATGGTGTGGGCAGATTAGGGTTGAGTTCTTCAATTAACGATATTGGGTACCAATGATCTCTCCATGAAAACTTGGAGGAAGAACTCTCATCATCAAATTCATCATTAATTTTATTCATTTCAGCTTCTGGAATGGGTTGATTTGGTTCAGTTTTTGTGGGTGGTGCTGCAACGCTTCTAAGTGTTAGGGAAAGGGTTTTTCTATTTCTGTTTCTGGGTGTTGTTGACTTTGTCAAAAATGGTGACTTTTTTTGTGAAGGATGAAAAGAGAAGGGATTTTGATAAAGCTGAGAGTGTATGTGGAAGTGCCATCAATGATTTATTTTATTTATTGTTTGAAGTTTTCAGATGTTAACGGTGGAAACTTTATGTAGAGATTGAATTATTCGTATGAAATGTAAGACGAAAAAACAAGAATTGTTTGAGTCGTGCAAGTTTCAAATGCTTTTTGTTTTTCATCTTGAGTGTTTTTAGACACAATGTTTGTTCAACAGTGTCACTGTCGGGTAAGTTTTCTTCTGTGTTTTGACAATTCAATGAATCAATTAATGTAGTTTTTGAGGTAACTATTTTTCTACGCAATCACAATTCATAACCCAATTTCAGGTAATATCTTTGGAAGGCTGGAAGCAGAATGCAAGCATACCATTACAGTTATAGAGGCTCAAAAAGTGGGTAATCTTCAAGTACAAACCGTCCCGAGAGAGTATCGTTCTCATTTTGTGGCGAGAAAGTAAACGTTTCTTTTGTGATGATTTTTCAATCGAGATTTGTCTTCAGATCTTGGTAAATACGTAAATGAATTTGCAATTGTCGGGTAAACTGATTTTTGTTTTAATTAGAGTGTATTGATGTTGACAGAAATATGTGCAATATAATGTAATATGATGTCTCTAGGTTATCTATTACTGCAGAATGCGAACTTTGGATGGAGTTGTCGTGGAATCTACACCATCTGAAGATGGAGGTGAAATGATTTTTACAGACACATGACCTTTTTTGGCGTCTTTAAGAAGAGATGAGATAGATGTCTCAGGAAGTGTGTGGGTATGTTGAAGCTGTTCTTAACAGTCTTGCTGCCAATGTTCCAAATTTGAGTTAACTTTATTGACTTTTGAAATTCTCCTATGTTCATATATATATATATATATTATGTTGATAGGGCACAAGTTTGATAGTATACCAAATAAATTATGTGAGGAATATATCGTCAATAATGAGGATAAAGAATTTCATTTATGCTATTTTTTGCTGCAGATATTTAAATTTTACTGAAAAATGCCGATACCTTTTCAGGTAAGCATGGTTCTAGGTGATAGGGGTCTACTTACGTTTATACAAGTGAGTATACAATCATGATATTGGTATCACAATGTGAAGGAACCATCTGTTCCACTCCTTGACGCCCCATTTGTTTAATCTTGATCAGATAAGTGCTTTGGCTTAAATTGGTTCTCTGTATTTTCAATGACAACAATTTGATAAAGGTATAATATTTTTTTATAACTTTGGTTTCTCCTTACTCATGTATATAGACAATCACGTTGATTCAATCCAATGTACAATTTTAGGTTTAGAACAATACTGGGTAAGTTGAGTTTTTGCTGCGTAATTTGTTTGTACACAAGGCCACTTGTGGTTCTTTATGGTTTGTGGTATTCTCATTTGAGAAATAAATTTTGCCTTTGTATCGTGCAAAATAATGTAGCAATGATCGAACAATAATTTGTATTGACTATTATTGGGTTTCAGGCCATTTATTAAAAGAAAAATAACAGCGGTGTTCGCTTTAAAAAGACCTTACATGATCATTTACAGGATTAAATTTCTTAGAAAGCAAGCTCAATATTTATTTTCTCCATTTTTCATCTTATAATCATTGTCCTTTCTCAACTTGGTGTTTGCAAGAATTTGAGAAAGTTCAACGATGGAAGGAAGCTCTCAAACAAGCAGCTGGTATCTCAGGACGAGATCTACATGATATTTAAAGAATTTATTGATGAAGTTTTCCCCTTCCTCCAACGAAAAGGCAATAGAAACAAGAACTGCAATAAAGTGCTTTAAATGCATAGCAACGAGGTTTTGACCCTGTGAATCATTTGTCTTTTTTGTTTAAACATATACAATTATTAATTTACTTCTTCCTACAGAATACAAGTTACTCGGACACTGCAAGATCATTAGATATTATCTTATGAAAAGGTGTATGTATATGCATAAAGAGATGTTTTTTATTATGCTTCATGAATCACGAATACCAAGTCATAAACTTATTAATCATACTTGGAACATGATAAGAATTTCTTGAGAAAGAGTTCAAAATATTGTCTGCAATCCATTATGCTCATGTAGCAGCAGATCGGTAAGTGTTTTAATCAATTTATGTTTTTGTTTTGAATCATTTTCCTGGACTGTTTGGATGGAGTAATGTTGCAAGTCTAGAAAATCTATATATGTGAAGGAGACGATTAACAAAGCCATCTTCAAGAACTAGTCTTTTGAGAAAACTGAGTATAAGAGTAAAGATCTCCATGATGAACTCAGAATCTGACACAAAATCATTCTAAATTGTATCAACCCCAGACTTCCGTCCAGTTCTTCAGACTATTTCAACGTTAATCAGAAGTACATGTTGTACTATTTGACGACCCATTAGAAGATGTATCTTCCAGCTCTTCTATTTTATTATTTAAGAGACTTTGTTATAAAGAACAGAACCACTAATGATCCCAAAAAAAGGTTTCTAACTATATTCTTTTTGGACATTTCATCACTGCATCCTGGTAGAAAGTGGCTTGGTGAAAATTCTGGTAGAAGAAGCTAAGTTTACAGAGGATCTGACTTCTAGTCTTGGAGATTCCTTCAATGGACAGACTCTGAAGAATATGAGACTAATAGAGGAAGTAATTGCTAAACCTCTACTTGTTCCCTCTGAAAGCATCATAATCTCAAGAATTCCTGTGAATAACTACCCTTTGTTTACCAAGGGAGATAACATGTCTAGCATTGCTATCTACGTCAAAATGATGGAAGCAGAAGGATATCATATGTCCAGTTTCAAATATTCTGGTTTACCTTCTGCTCAAGAGTATGTTGACTCTTCCAAAGGTAAAAGGAAGAAGAATTCAGAAGCTCCTGAACCTGAAAAGAAGAAGAAGAAGAAGTCTGGAACTTCTAAGATTGTGACTTTAGCTGCTTATCCAAAAACAATAAGTAAGTCTGCTATTGCTACTTCTGTACCTGTTTCATTGTCTGTTTCTAATATTATTAATGCAGTCTCATCCATTCCAACCACCATCACACAAACATTATCTTTT